AGTGAATGCTGCCATGAACAACCTCGTATAAACTGTGTGTCAGTTCTCACGAGACGTATTTGTAGGATAAATTTATAAATGCACTGTTGCTAAGACAGATGTGCATTTTAAAGTTTGCCAGATTTCACCAAATGTTCCCCATAGGAGTTGTATTAATTCACACCCCAACGTATTAGAGTCAACAGAACATGTTATCAAACTATTGATCACTATTTAGTAGATAAAAAAAGATGTTTCGTAACTTTAATTTGCATTTATCTTATGAATAAGATTGAGCGTTTTTCCTCCTAGGTTTGAGATCCATTTCTAACACTTTTTAAAAAAACATAGCTCGGCCAGTGTCTGACGTTCGTTTGCACACTCCCACTGTGTTTCGCCTCAGCGTCGTGAACTCCATCGTGTCACTGCGGGTGGCAGTGCTGGCGCCTTCTCATTGCTCTGCGTTATTCCCAGCGCTGAGCTGTGTGCAGTGCGGGCCCGTCAGAGTGCTGGTGCCACAGCTTCGCCTGTGTCTCGGTGAGGGGGACACGCGTTTGGATTTCTGTTGGCTGTGCGGATGGAATTCCAGGGCCGTCGGCTGAGTATAGGACCAGCCTCACTGTTTTCCAGAGCTCTGGCACCGAGCTGCACTCCCACCAGCGGTGCCTGCGCGTGCAGCTGTCCCCGCCCCACCAGCTCGGCTGTCTCCGTCTTTTTCGGTTCAGCCACAGGGAAGGGTGAATCTCGCTCGGGGTTTAATTTCTACTTTCCGATGATTCAGTCGAGCACCTTTTCCTGCACCTTATTGGCTAGTTGTGAAATAACTGTTCAAGTCTTTTACTCATTTTTTTTTTTTTTCTGTTAGCTGGTCTGCTTTATTTCTTACCGATTTTTAAATTCTTTTACTTTTGAGAGAATTCCAGCAAGAGTCTAAGCATTGAAATCTGCGTATTGCTCTTCCAGCTTGCTTGAGGGGCTTATGTGAGAAGCGCTTTCACCATTTCATTTTCTCTGTTTTTCCTCCCTTTCTGTTTCACTGTCTCTTATCCTTCCAACTTCGAGGTCTGGGATGTGCTTTCTCTCTTGAGTTTGTGGGTTTCCGTGTAGCTGTCCTTCTTGCTCTGTGGTACTCTGCCCCTTCCTTGGTACCAAGTCTGCTCATACCAGTCGTGGGTCCTGGCCCGCTGAATCTCTGACGTCACCGATTTGTCCTGTCATGTTCACTGTTTTACCCTACTTTTAATTTGCATTTACCTTTTAAGTTGATTCATTTATGTGAGCCATTTCTTACCTTGCAAATTTGCTTGAAAAATATAGAGCATCTTTTGGGTCTCTGAAGCTTTTGCTGTGTGAGGGCTAGATTTGGGAGACAGTTCTAACTTTTTTGTACCATTCCTTGGCTGCAGTGTAAACAAAGGGACACTCTTACTATTCCTTAGAGCGACTCCCCTGAATCCTGCCTTTCTGCTTGGATGAATGGGATGAGTAGCCACAAGGGAGCAACCGGGAGGTCTCATCTAGCATCTGCTTCTCCCCTGGGTCCTCCCTGCCCACTCTTGTCCAAAATCAAGGGATTGGATAGGAAGCGCCGTCCAAGACGTCTCCCTCAGAGGCAGCCCCCCCGCCCCCCGCTCTCCTTTCCTCCTGAGGCGGCCCCCACCCCTACCCCCATCCGTCCCACATGTGCGGGACTGCTCCTGAGTCTGGGAGACCCCCAGGCTGGGAGGCTGTTGGGAGCTCGCAGGAGGCCCAGGTGAGGAGAGGGAGTCATGGCGGTCTGTGGGCGGCTGAGAAATACGGATTCTCCCTCGAAGGTGGCAGAGGGTGATCGGAGAGAGGCAAAGACTGATTTTTGTTTGGTGGGAGTCTTCCGTGACGATTCTCATGATCTGGGAGGTGGCACCAGAACAGCATCAGGAAGATGATATCCACAAGGAAGAGCCATGCTTCGCTCCTGGCAAACTGATGCTGTGTTCACCTCAGCACCTAGGGCCCGAGGGAGAGCTGAGAGTAACAGTGGTTAGCGCTCACCTGTGAGAACACGTGGGTGCAGTTCTCAGCACTGTGGTCCGCGCCCTGAACCTCACAGCACCAGGAGGTGACATCACCATTAATAGCCCCAGTTTTCAGATGAGCAAATGGGGGTGCTGGGAGGGGAGGCAGTGGCTCCACGTTACACAGCTCATCCGGGCCGCAGACCCCGAGGTGTGTCCTGAACGCTTGTTGGGCCCTCTCCATGTTTGGTCCCATTCAATCCCATAGCAACTCTGTCAGGTGGCTTTTATCATCCCCCTTTTCCAGGAGAGAAATGAAGGCGGAAGCTCCCTCTGCCCCTGTTCCCAACCAGTCATTGGCCATGTGGTTTAGACCCAGGCCCGTGTGAGGCTTCACACGGGCACAAGTAAGAGCTTCTGAAAAAGGCCGAAAACCAGGTTCTTGGACATTTACCTGTTGGTCAGTGTTGACACCCTGTCAAGAATTGCACAGATTGAGGAAATGACATCATTTATCATTTATTTAATTAACTCTCCATCTTCAATGTAACAATTTTGTCTCTAGCTGGCCGCCCAGTGGTGCCGTTTTGGTAACCCCCTCCTTCGTATGCGGAAGATGGAGGGGCCCAGAGCTCCCCCTGCTCGGACGCCATGGCTGAGATCTGGGATTACATGGGCACTTCGTCCTGTACAGGTCGTCATGCGAGTAGTAGAAGCAAGACCTACAGTGGAACAGGACATGAGACATCTCATTGTTCTCTTCTGTAAATATCATATTGCATAACTCCTAATATAACTCGCAAGTTATGCACAAGCAAGTATATTATCTTTCTGTAATTGTATTTATTACGCTGATAAAAATGTTCAAATATTAAAACTCACCCCAGAGTGCATGATAAAGAGGTGTTTGCTGAATTTTATAGTTACTGGTGAGAACTCCTTAAGCCCCAGCCACAGGCCGTTGACAGTAGCCGGCTTTTCCAGGGCCTGGCCTGCTCCCATCGGCCTCCCACAGCCCGCTTTGTCTGCGTGGCGCGCACCAGTGTCTGAAATTGCTTCCTTGTACAGCTGTCCCCCGCGTGATCTCTGTGTGAGTCGGTGCCCTGCCTCTCACGGGCCCTGAGTCCCACCCAGGTCTAGAGCAGAACTCAGCATGCCTTTGCCGGGTGGATGGGCATTGTCACTTCTGGGATTTGGGCTGTTGGCAGTGCTCTCGGAGCATCAGAGAGTCTGGTGGCTCCCACCTCGCTCCCTCAGGAGAGCACTCAGCGTCCCTAGGCTTGTTTTCTGTCATCCGGTGTCTCTCACCCTCTTTCTGCACCCAGCCGCCCCCTTCACATATTACCCAGTTACCCCGGCTACGTGAAAGAGTGAGCAGTACCTTGCATTTGCGACCCAGTTCCCATTATCCTCTTCTGTGATTAAGCTTTATAGGTAGCTTATGGACATCACTGAAGAGATAATTTATAAAACACCGTTTCCATATTTTCTGAGCCAGAAACATGGTCAATCTAATCACTTAAATTGGGTCTTCCTCATATAAATTAAAACTGTAAGATGGTCAGAAACCCAGAGGTTAAATAACAGATTTTATTGGTGCATCTCTGGGGAAGCAGACGTTTTCCTGACACTGCTGGTGGGGATGTAAAATGGCAGAGCCCCTGTGCAGGGGAATTTGGCAGTAGCTAGCAAAATGACATATGCGTTTACTGTCAGCGTCGTTCTTCTTCAAGGAATTTGTCCCTAAATACACTGGTAAATATGAAAAGATCCTTGTAAAGACTGTACGTTGCGGCACTGTTTGACATACTAAAGGCTTTTCAGCGACATCAGATCCATTAATAGGGAACCGGTTGAGTAGCCTCTGGTGCTTCCACACTATGCAGCACCGTGTGGCTGTGACAAAGAACAAGGGACACATGTGTGTGCTGAGGAGGGACAGCCAGGACATACAACTAAAGGAAGAAGTTCTCTTACGAGAACGCGTCTAAGGCGTGCCGCCGTTTTAAGGGGGATATGCATATAGACATGTATTTGCATATATCTTAAAAATGGAGGGATAAACCTTTATTATTTTTTTCAGAGCTACCCTTGCGGAAGGGAGGGACCAGGATGGAGGGGACAGATACAGGGCTAGACTTTTGACTGTACCTCATTTTATAGTGTTGACTTTGGAACGATGTAGATATTTTTATCATTATAAAACAGAATTAAGTAGATTATAACTTTTGCTAGACATGGCTAGTTTTTCTCTGAAAAGTTTATACCCTGTTTCCCTCCTATCAGTACTGCGGGAGAACTCTTTCTCGTACACCTTTGCCAACACCGCATCATCCTCTTTTAAAACCTTGCCAATCTGTTAGGTGAAAAATAACTTGTTAGCCATTCGTTTTCTGTGAAATGTAAATTTATAGCCTTCTTTCTATAAGAAAGATTTTTTTCTCTATTGATTTATGAAAACTTTTTATATGCTATGGATGTAATTTTTATTTGCTGACAATTACCAGGCTCAGGACCTCATTTCCAGTTAAGTTGCTCCGGCCCTATGTGCGATAGCTGCATGTTAGTCTGTCACCATCCATCAGGAGGTTTTGTAGACAGCATTTCTGTAGGGTACACATGAGGTGCTCACCTTATTCTTAGAGTAACTTGCCCTAAACTCTGTAAGTGCCGGGTGTCAATTTGTGAGCTCTTTGGAGTAATGACCACTGTTTTCTTTTCCTTTTTAAAAAATTTCCTACAGCTTATTACTGTGTTTAAATAGTAAATAGTTCAGAAATATCCACGTTGGTTGATTGTGGGTGAATGTGTAAACTAAATTTGGTTGTGTTTTGGTTTGAGATGGTTCTTGATTTTCAGTGACCCGTGATGTCCGTTTTTATGTTCTGTTCAATTGAATATCTGAACTAAAGTTATTTTTCACTATAACACACGTAGTGAAAGTAGGTTCTTACAGTGTTCTGTGGCTGTTGGCATCTGTCCTTCGTTTATGGACACGTTGAATATGTCCGTTGTTCCTTCCTCTAGGTCATCACTCCATGCAGGAAGCTCATCTTATGCGCCGATAACAGAAAAGAAATGGAAGATTGGATTGCAGCTCTGAAGACTGTCCAGAACAGGGAGCATTTTGAGGTAAAAAAAGAAAAACAGCCCTTGTTGTCCTCTCCTTAATATTCTGCCATCCGAGTCTCTCCCACGCGTGGACTGTACGTTCCGGAACTCACTTTCTCAGCATGTTCCTTGTAAACTAAGGCTGCCCATCGGGCTGCGTGACACCATCCTTTGTCCCAGGAGTGAGTTCCCTCCCCTCCACTCCCTCGATTCTTCGCTGGCTCCCGTTCAGGTTACCACGTCCAGGCTGTCAGAGGCTCACCCCGTCTTGGCCGTCTTTTTCTCCTCCTAGCCGACGCAGTACAGCATGGACCACTTCTCAGGGATGCACAACTGGTACGCCTGCTCGCACGCGAGGCCCACCTACTGCAACGTGTGCCGCGAGGCGCTGTCTGGGGTCACGTCGCACGGCCTGTCCTGTGAAGGTGCGGATGCTGCGGTGTCCTGCTGGGGGAGGCGGCCCGGCCCGAGAAACCCGAACGTAGTCACCGCAAGTCAGGAGTAAAGTGATCCCGTGGCCCCTGTCTATTTTTGTGCCTGCTGAGGAGTCTTTGATAATTTACTTTTCCCAGTGATGGAGCAGAGGAAGAGGGAGGCGGTTTTTAGGAGATGCGGAGAGGAAACGGAGAGGACACAAAGGGAGAGCCCCGGTGGGGGTGCACCCCTTCTCCGGGTAAACTGGGTTGAGGAGAAATGGATTAAAGACTGTCTTGCAGATGTAGGGGACAGGGCTCTAGTGTTTACACAGGAGCAAAGAAAGGCAAACTGTGGCCCGCGGGCCGAACCCCACCCACCTGCCGTGTTTATGTGGCCTGTGAGGTTCAGAATGGTTTCACATTTTTAAACGGTTGAAAAAAATCAAAAGAAGACAATTACTTCGCGACACAGAAAATCATATGACGGTTAGATTTCAGCGTCCGTATGCAGCATGGTCCCTGGTGGCCCTCGTGCAGGGGCAGCTTGAGTAGTTGGGACTGAGACCGTGTATGGCCAGCGAAGCCTGAGCTGGTTGCTCTCTGGCCCTTGGCAGAAAGTCTGCCGACTCCTGCTGTCCTGGTCTCACCGTGGTCGGTCTCTGTGCGTGTCCCAGGAGTGAGCTCACAGCAGGGGTGCGGTGTGTTCGCTCCAGCTTTCCCCGGGGACCGGGCAGTTCTGCCGACTGCCATTTTGAGCACAGGAAGTGGCTGTCGAGATCGAGGCTTCAGGGTTCGCCTGTTTATTCTCTCACAGTGTGCAAGTTTAAGGCCCACAAGCGGTGTGCTGTGCGTGCAACCAGTAACTGCAAGTGGACCACACTGGCCTCCATTGGGAAGGACATCATCGAGGACGAGGATGGGGTATGCACAGGGGGACCACTGGCACCGGGACAAGAGACTCTCCCTCCGCCCCCGGCCCATGCTCAGTTCTCTTCCTCCCGGCTTGGAGTGGCTCCCCCTGTGTTCTGGGGCTCCGCGTGCGCGTTGGCGCCAGACCCGGGCAGGAGCAGTGGGTGGGCAGCGCCGGGCAGACCCCACCTTCCCTCCGCCTCGGTGGAGAGCAATGCCTCGGTGGAGTCCATCTGGAGGCATCTTCGCCCCGGGCTTCTGTGCCCTGCGGGGCGCTTGGACGTCCCCAGTGTGTGTCTCCACTCGGTCTGCAGGTCGCCATGCCTCACCAGTGGCTGGAAGGAAACCTGCCTGTGAGCGCCAAGTGCACAGTGTGCGACAAGACCTGCGGCAGCGTGCTGCGCCTGCAGGACTGGCGCTGCCTCTGGTGCAAGGCCATGGTGAGTGAGCGCCGCGGGCCTCGTCCCTCCCCCGAGGGTGGGCAGGTGCCCTGCCAGGGAGCCCTGGGGGTGGGGTGCGAAGGAGGCGTGGCCCCTCGTGACCATGGGCTCTTACTGCAGGTGCACACGGCGTGTAAGGAATCCTTACTGACCAGGTGCCCGCTGGGCCTGTGTAAAGTGTCAGTCATCCCTCCCACGGCTCTCAACAGCATCGACTCCGATGGTAGGTGCCACATGCATGCCAGCCTGTCCCCTTTCTCATGCTTCTCCCTCTGTGTGTTCCCCTCCCCCACGCTAGCATTAGCTGTGTTGGTGATTTTGAGATGTGGTTGGGAAGAGGTCAGGCCCAGCCGTCGGGGGGAGAGGAGCTATGTACACAGGTGGTAGATGGTGTCCCAGTGGCCCCTGGGCACACTTAGCACTCGAGGCTGGTGACTTCCTTGAAGGATGGGTCCAGGTGGCTGTGGGTAGGACCAAGCCGAAGACTGTCGTCCATCTGATGTGAGCCGTCGGAGCCATGTTCACCAGCTGGTCTCCGCCTCCCCGCAGATGCTAATTAGCATGTGGTCCCATGCCTGCTGCCACTTGTCCAGGTGGCATCTGATGAATGTCAACACGTGTTGGTGGAGAGGCAGGAAACGGCATGTGTCTCTGAGGACATCAGCTCCTCCAGACTTAGGGCGAGAGGGGAGGATGGAGCAGGGAGGCGCACGACATTTTAGACTCCTTGTAAACGTGAAGCCAGACGGGATGGGGACGCGCTTCCTTCTGCGTGGGGAGTGGCTGTGTGGCAGTGTGCCTATCAGTGCCTCTGGGTACCTGGGCGCGTGTGTACCTGTCTGCAGAAGGTCCCCTGGGGATTACTTGCAGCTGATTAAGACTGCCCCTTGTGTCTTCGTGGCTTTCACATTTTCTCCTGTCCTTTTCATTCTCACATCCAGGCTTCTGGAAGGCCACATGTCCTCCATCCTGCACAAGCCCCTTATTGGTCTTTGTCAATTCAAAAAGTGGGGACAACCAGGGCGTGAAGTTCCTCAGAAGGTTCAAGCAGCTGCTGAATCCTGCCCAGGTCTTCGACCTCATGAATGGAGGCCCACACCTCGGGTAGGATGCTTGTAAAATATCCCTTTCTTGGAGTTTTGAAAAAATTGAAGGTGATGCATGTTTATTAAAAAAAGATTCAAAGATACAGATATTTTTCAACAGGAAGATAAAGTGGTCTTTCGTAAATCATCCCCTCCCCACATTCCACTCACAGAAGTGCCCCTGTGTGTTTCTCCAACCTTCAAGTGTGTGCACACACTTGTAAGCCAGATGTGGTCGTGTGTTACCTGCCGTTGCGCAGTCTGCTGTGTACGTGTGTCAGCATATAATAGCGTGGATGTGTTCTGACGTCAGTAGTTACAGACCTGCCTTGCTGTTTTTATCGAGGATGCCTTCTCCCAGTGAGGCTGAAAAAAGAGAGATTTTGGAGGGCACAGGAAGCCACTCAGCTCGCGGGTGCAGTGACACGTGGAGATGTGCTGGGCTGGTTTAGGGGCAAAGTAATGACACATTCAGTCAGCCAGCCGGAGAGCTGACGTGTTCTTTGTAGTTTTGAGATTTTACAGTTGCTTCTGTGAGTTCTGTCCTCTGAACGAGCTCCTTCCTGGTCTGGAAGCAGCAATTCAAGGCAGGCGCTCCGCCACCCTCCTCGGTCATTCGGGACGTCGGCCAGGACGTCCATAGTGGGAGGTACTTACAGTTCCTGTTCTCTGGTGTGTTTTCCCTGAGAGGTTCCTAGGATGGTGTTTTTTGGAGCAGGGGCTACTGTGACATGATCCTGGGCACCAGGCGGAGCGTCCATGCAACACTGTCCCCGGGGGGTGGGGTGGGGCTCGTGTGTTGGATTTCCCACTGGCAGCACGTCACTGCTGGAGAGTCACAGATGGCAACTCTCTAGCCTGTTTCCTCAGAGGCAGCACTCTCAGATTTTGGCAGAGAGGCTTAGTAACTGAGTGGTGCAGAAACATGTTCACTGCTGGATTCATAAAAGAGTCCTTTTAGTCAAAAAATGGGCCAACGGAGGGATCGGGCAACCCTTGTCACACTGTCCCAAACAGGATTGTTCAACATGGCACCGTGGGTGGTGAGCAAACGCCGTGAAGTGGCTTTGAGCAGGGAGCTTGAGAGTAAACGTTGGTGCAGCCACGTGCAAACCCCGTGTTCATGCTGGGCGTTGAGTGTGAGACCAGACAACGTAGGCGGCGGCCCCATCGAGGCGCCCTGGTTGTCGCTGTAGGACATTCCTGTTTCTGGGGAGCAGCCTCCACCGTGCCCCGCTGCGACAGCGCTTAGAGGTGCCGCCTCATTCCCTAGATTCCTGGCTGTGACAGACGTGTCGCCTCTTCTCCAGGGAGCAGGGGGCCTGAGAGAGGTCCGTGTTCTCAGAGGAATATGTGACCATTTCTGTCACGACCTGAAGGTCAGACACAGCCTTGCCGCTTCAGAGCCTCACCTCTGTTTATCCCTCGAGTTCTGGATCATGTCAGTCGCCCTGTTTGTCCTCCGAGACCTTCCTCTGGCTCAGGCTTGGCTGGATGCACGGCCATTAAGGTGGGGCCCTGCCTGCCAGGGGTGCGGCACACGGGTAGTCACGGTCACCAGAGTGATCTGTCACGTTGACAAGGAGATGTGCAGATTCTGTGGGAACCCAGGGACGGGGCTTATAAATTAAACTGTGGGTGGGGGCGTCTCAGTTTCCCCCCTGAAGCAGCATCGAGGAGAGCTGTGGCGGGATAAGGGGGAGCCTTCTAGGCAGAGGTGCCGTGTGTGCAAGGCGGTGACAACATGGTGGGGCGGCCATGGCAGCGGCAGCAGCTGGGCAGATGGGCAAGTGGCTGCTGGCCAGGAAGGGGCATGGGTGCTGGCCGAGAGGTATGAGCCTTTCTTAGAAACAAGAGGTAACTTCTTACAGCGAGGCACTCGGCAAGACTTGATTTGGGAAGATTAGGCTGCTGGCCGGAGTTGGAGGGTGCTGCAGGAGACCTGAGGTAGGGAGGGGGCTCTGGTAGTGATTATCAGAGATACAGTGGTGGCCTGCACTCAGGGGACAGTGGGGACTGGCTTGGTGACTGGGTTGATGGTGGTTCTGCCATTCTCCAAGGAAGGCAGCCTAGAACAAGGAGGCCCCCATGCGACATCCGAGTGGCGTGTTTGGTAGACACGTGCAAGTGTTGTCTTTCAGGAAAACCTCGAGGTCATCGTTCTGAGTCATTTAGGTCATTTGGGGTCATTGGCGTCTTCTGTGTGGTCCCTGAATGGGCTGAGGTCATTCAGGGAGAGGGTGAGGAGTGAGCAGAAGGCTGTGGGGTGTGCTGAGGGGGACACTGAATGCAGGTGGCAAGGTGATAAGAAGCACAGGAAGGAGGTGGAGTGGGTCACAATGCCTGGGAGGTTGGAGTGGCCCAGAGGACAGGTAAAGTATGAACAGAATCCTGTGGCCTGGGCTCCCGAGCAACACGTGGGGCTGCTGGCTGAGTGTGCGGCTGGGGGAGCCAGGTTGGGTGCAGAGGCCGTGGGTGGGGGCCCCAGTGGCTGAGCCTGAGCACACGTGGGCTCTGTCTCCGAGAGGTCTATTCACAGGTAGGGGCGCAGGGTTGGCATGGGGGACACAGAAGGGGCCCCTCGTCCAGGGCTAACTGGACATCATTTGTCCTTTAGAATGTGCCTCATTTCATCGACTTTTTTTCTCTGCAGCTTACGCTTATTCCAGAAGTTTGATACCTTTCGGATTCTGGTGTGCGGTGGGGACGGCAGTGTCGGCTGGGTCCTCTCTGAAATTGACAGCCTCAATCTGCACAAACAGGTACCTGACGTGGAAGGGCCCAGCCCAGGGAGAGCAGTGTCACAGTCAGAGACAGGCCACGCTATCCTGGGCGATGCTCCTTGTCTCCTTGGAGCACCGTTACCGGAAGGGGCCGCGAGGGTCTCCGAGGGAAGAGCAGGTGGCTAGATAGCATCAGGGTGCCCGGGGCTGTAGCTGTGACATAGGAACAGGAACTTCACAGTTAGAAGTAAAGGGAGCTACAAAGGAGCTATAGAAAGAACATTCTGGTCCCTGCCAGTCCCAGGTTGGGAGCAGGTCTGGGTGGAGCTGCCATCCTCTGCACCTGCCTGCTCATTGGTTAGCGATATAATCTACTGCCTGATGCCTCTTGCTGGTGAGGAGGGGACAGAGTAGACTTGAACTTCAAGTCAGAGTTAGGGTCCCTTAGACTTAGATTTTTTGCCTCTATTAAATTAAAAATAGAATTTTCTGATTATTAAAAAAAAAAGTTCATTGATTATTAGAAAAAAAAAAGTGGCTTTTCCACCCCCCGTTTCCTCGCTCTCCTCCCCCCGCGGTAGTGACCCACCGCTGACTGGTAACAGCCCCTCAGGCCCGCCTGTCAGCACGCGTGTGGTGCGACGCAGTTTTAACTCAGACGGGCTCGTGCCATGCCGTTCTGGCACCGCACTTTTAAGATCAGCACGTTGTGGCACGTGCGGTCACGCCACGGCCGTAAGTGGCGGGGTGTGGGGTGGCTCAACACTGGGCAGAGCTGGGCCGGCTCTGGGCCAGCTCACACTGCTTTGGAAGGACTGCTCTGGTGAAAACCGCACACGCGCCCGACTCTGTTCTCTCAGGGCACCCACATGTAGACCGTGCTCTGTCCTGTCACACTGAGCTCCATCAGGGCTGTACCAATTTAATTTCCCGATGCTACCGGAAAACCATCCTTTCCCACACACCGTCCATTGTTCCACTTTGTTCCTTTTTGCTCAATTAAGTAGACAAAATGTGTTTTATTTTTAATTCTGGTGAAGTCAAATCTCTCATTTAACCATAAATTTTTAAATGAATCATCTTGTTTATGTTTACTGTCTAGATTTTGAGATTTTTTTTAAAAAAATTGATTTCTAAGAATTATTGTCATATTAAGGGTATAAACTTCCTTGGTCATATTTTTTCCTAGTTTGTCATTTGCTTTTGTCATACTTTTTCTTCAAATCTTTGATCTGACTGGAGAGTATTTTTCATAGACTTAGCATTCTCGTCCTACTCTCGGTGTCAGGGGTCCTTGTAGGTGGGCAGACTGCTTGTTCTCAGTATTTATCCCCGAGTCCCTGAGTGTTGTCCACGGTGCACCATGACCTAAACTCAAGCCAGGCCATTTGCTCAGGAAAGAGGATGCTGCTCCCTAGTGGTGAACCTAGAGCACTACACTCAGGTCCAGTGACTTCGCCAGGAATCTACAAGTTCATTGTCACTAGTCAGAAAATGACTTCACCCCCTCAGCTGAGTTCAGTGAGCACTTATCTCCTTCGGCTTTTCTGTGCCACTTGATCCCCTGTCCCCCGGCTTTCCTGAGGCCCCACCCGCTCTGCGGTTCTCACCTTCCACCTGGTTGCTGCTCAGCTCCTGCTGCAGGCCTGACATTTCCAGTCTGGAGTCCACTGCTCAGCCCTGCCTTCCTCTGCACTCCCCTCCTCTGAGTCTGAGAGTAGCACCTCCCCCACAGTTGTTGATTCTCCCCTCCTCCTCCCCCCTCATTTCCAGTCAGCTGTGGGGCTCAGTCCTGCCGCCCCAGGTGTCCAGGCCCCCCAGGCCTCCGTCTGTCCTCTCCTCCTTGGGGGCTGTCCCATGGGCGGTTCTGCTCGAGCACCTCTGAGCTTTCCCGTGGCCCCTTGCTTTAGGATCAAGCCCAGACTCCACAACACAGTTTCCCAGGGCCCCCAAGTCGGCTCCTCCTTTCTCCTCTGCTTCTCTGCCTCACCCCCTCCTCACTGCCTCCTCTCCATGGAGCTCTGACTGGGCAGGATGGTCACCTCTCTGCCTGGTGCTCGGGCTTCCTCGTCCTCGCCCTCCAGCCTACTGTCCCCGGCATGGTGGTGGGACCTCCCTTGTGTGGCCAGGCAGGTGGCCCTGGGCTGTGCAGTGCTTAGGGTGGACCAGTGACCCTCCCCGCACATGGCACATCGGGGTCGGAGGCGGAGGGAGCTCACTCACTCGCTCCTGAGTGTCTGGGGAGCTTCCTGAGCACTGATCTGGTGTGGCGGGCTTTCCGTGGGGGGCTCTGGGTTGGGAATTCCAAGGGGGCAGGGCCTGAGCAGTGGTTGGGGCTCCCTGGGGCATGCTCAAGTTTGGTGGCCAGACCGTGGATGTCCTGGTATCTGTTTTGATGGGACTTAGAAGCCACTGAGGATGTTTTTAGAGGAGTGATACGGCACTGGTAACGTTTTTGGAAGATGAACTTGGTAGCAGTGAGTAAGATGTTGTAGTGGATGACCAGGTGGTGGGGAGTCACAGAGTGCTCTTTCAGGGGTTCAGGAACTCACCTGTCAGGGACAGGACTGTGGCCATGGCTGTGAACATGGGAAATAAATATCAGAGAGGTCCTAGAGGATTAATCGTCAAGACGCGGACCTGTGAGAGACGGAGGACATCTCTGTCGAGTCAGAAAGGCCACCTGTGCTACCTCACGGCTCTGCCAAAGGGCCAGCACTGCACCGTAGAGCAGATCTCGCGCCGAGCGCAGCCACCGTTGCCAGCGAGAAGCAGGGTGTTGAATGCCGTGTCTTCCTGCTGTGTCTGTCAGTGTCAGCTGGGAGTGTTGCCGCTCGGCACAGGGAACGACCTGGCTCGTGTGTTAGGCTGGGGCTCGGCCTGTGACGATGACACCCAGCTCCCGCAGATCCTGGAGAAGCTGGAAAGAGCCAGCACCAAGATGCTGGACAGGTGAGTGGGGACGCGCACTGAGACCGGTCACCTGCATGAGGTGTTCTTTCCTGGGGTCCCTGCAAACTGTGGGCTCACTGTAGGGACTTGTAAAAATTTGACCTCAGTGAGAATTCTTTTAACTTTTGATCAAGATTATGAGAAAGGTAACAGAACAGGTTAGGAACCTTGCTCACAGTGGTCACATCTTCTCAGGGGCCAGCCCTGACCCACTGGGGCTCTTGTGAAGGTGGCTCTGTCCCCTTTGGCCATTGCAGCCCGCATCCAGCTCCTGTCAGCAAAGTCCTCCTTGTCCGTAGGTGAGCAAACCGCTTTTCCCATATCCCGTTCCCAGAAGAATCGAAGAATTGGATACGTGTTCTCTGTCTAAAAATTCTTTGGATTCTTCCTGAGTGAGCTGCTTTTAGTTTGAGTTTGTGTCTGAAATCCCACGGACCCCCAGCCTGTGGTAAATTGGTGGTGTTGAAGACGCTCGTGTTCTGTCACAGGATCCTGTGGTTGCCATTAGCAGGCATGATTTCAAACACACACTGGCTGCTCCTCTTGAGGGAGGTGTGTGTGCCTTCGGTGCCTGTGGAATGTGTGCCCCCTGGGGGAGCTGGCAGCTGGCCGAGGGGCTGTAGATCTCTGGTTCTGGGATACATTTTACCTCCTTCAGCGGAGCTACACGGCCCTGTTGGTGTGACATTTGTTCTCAGTAAAGCGAAGAGCCAAGTTATGGGGCGTGGAGTCAAGACAGAGGGCTTACAGATAGTTAGCATTGTGTAAAGTTGAGTCCCAGGCCCACCCCGGCTGCTGGAGTCAGCTGCTGAGAGCTGCCTTCGTGTGTGCAGGTGGAGCGTCATGGCCTATGAGACCAAACCCCCCCGGCCGGCCTCCTCTTCCACCGTCGTCACCGAGGACTTCAGCGAGGGTTCCGAGGTACTTCCGGTTGCCCCCTGCGTGCCCTCACGCCCTGCCCTAGGTCGGACCCGCAGGGGTGCAGGGTCAGCCCAAGGTTGAGCTGGAGCTGTGTGCACTCTGACACCAAACCTTTTCCCTGGCTTCGAGGTCAGCTGGGGGCTTCCTGGGCTGTCACCAAGATTTGGGGTCCTTTGTGCTGGTGGTCTCCAAGGACTTCCTCCTCTTCCAGTGCACTCTGTTGGCTGGCTCCTCGGTGACCCTGCACGTGACCCTTTGTAGTTAGCCTGTGCTAGTTCGGCGGTTAGCCCTTCTTTTCCTTTTACGAGTAGTTCTGTAAGGGCTTGGACTTTGCCTTTTGCCTTCTTCATTTTATCCTGCAACAGCACAGTACTGGGCACATAGCTGTCCTTATTCCCACTGGGCGAGCTGGCTGCTGGTTGAGCAGGAGACAGAAAACTCTGCCAAGGGCTGGCCGCCTGTCAAGAGGGTCAAGGACAGTGGGCTAGGGCAGCAGTCAGTAGACTGTGGCCTCTAGGCCAGATCTGCCTGGGCCTGCTTTGACGTGGCTGGCGAGCAGAGAATGGTCTGTGTCTTTTAAGAGAAGACGAATATGTGTGCGAAGCCTCAGGGGTTTACTGTGTAACCTGCAGTAAAGTTTGCCGAGCCCTGGGCGGAGCCTAGAGAGAGGGGTCCATCACGTGGTTAGCGCTCCCATCTCAGCAGGCAGCAGGTGCCCGGTGCCCGGCTTGAGAGAAGGGGAGGGGCCGGGCCAGTCCCCACCCAGGTAGAGAGATGCGTGTTTGCTGTGAAGGGGCCCTAAGTTAAGGAGCCCTGCCTGTGGACTCCTGTGTTAAAGGTGACAGTCCCCAGCACATGCTGCTCTTGGTGAGCTGCAGATAGAGAAGCAGAGCTGTTTGTAAGTTGATATTGACACATTGTTTTTTGTTAAGATCCATCTGTCTGTATCTTGCTGAAGCCTTTGAAATCTTTCAGATGGCTCTGTGGGTCTCAGATAGGCTAGTGAAGTGAGCCGAGGCGGGGCCAGTGGGGGGGCAGGCAAGCGGGCGAGGACTTCGTGGGCGTGGACTGACCCGTTTTGGGATAATTGTAGGTACAGCAGATTCTCTTCTATGAAGACTCTGTCGCGGCCCATCTTTCTAAAATCCTGACCTCTGACCAGCACTCGGTGGTGATATCATCGGCGAAGTGAGTGCCAGTGGCCTTGGGGGAGCCGGGGTCCACCATGCAGGGTGCCGGGTCCCCAGCAGAAGTGTCTGGAAGTGTCTCTGCGTTCGCTCCCACAGGGTGCTCTGCGAGACGGTGAAGGACTTCGTGGCGCGAGTGGGCAAGGCCTATGAGAAGACAGCTGAGGGCTCGGAGGAGTCAGAGGCCGTGGCCAAGAAGGTTTGTCCCAGGGCACCCGAGCGGGAGGCCATCAGGACGGAGAGGCACCCCATCTCCTCCCATTCGTTTCTCGTTTAGTGCTCTGTCCTGAAAGAGAAGCTGGATTCCCTCCTCAAGACTTTGGACGACGAGTCGCAGGCCTTGTCCTCTCTGCCCACCCCACCGCCCACCATTGCTGAGGAGGCGGAAGACGGAGACGGGCTGGGCAGCGGCTGTGGCTCCGCAGTGGACCGCTCGGTGGGGTCGGCGTGCCCAGCCCGGCCACAGATATTCCGGCCTCGGGAACAACTCATGCTAAGAGCCAACAGCCTGAAGAAGGCGATCCGTCAGATCATAGAACACACAGAAAAAGGTGGCTAGTCTCTTAGTAACGCGGGAGCTTTATCCGCTGGGCACGGGGCACGCCCTTCTCCCAAGTGTGGTGATAGACAGGGACCCGTGTGTAGGCCAGGGCGCCGGTCACTTCCAGCCTGTCCGGTTTACTTCTGGACCGCGTGGCATGTGGCAGCTCCTCCCACCTAAGAGCGGGCTGGGGACATTGCTCCCTCTTCACCTGCTTGTGTCTGATGTAAAGACGCTGCTGACTGGGGCAGCACCCCGGGGGTCTGGAAAGGAGGAGGCAGAGCCGGTGGGACCTTCCCAGCTGGTGTGAAGGTGCCTCGCATGGGCTCCCACGGAGAGTATGGTGAAGAAACTGATTCCTGGATGGGGCCCACTCCCCGGAAGGGCCCTAACATGTGGTGACCCTGCCACACAGCTGGGAGATGAAGAGGGGAGTCTGTTCTACAGGGACCGCGTCAGCTTGGCCTTGTCTGTGGTGACACCCACGGCTGAGCCACAAACTCTCTCCTCGCACAGCTGTCGACGAGCAGAACGCCCAGACCCAAGAACAGGAGAGGCTTGTCTTGGGGCTCTCCGAGTCGGAGGGGAAGAAGGACCTGAAATCGGATGACAGACTGTGCCACAGCGGGAGCTGTGCGGCGGCCAAGTGCAGGAGCCTCCGCAAAGGTACTGTGCGGCTGGCGCGCGGCCCTCAGCGCCGCCACCAGGCCTTGTCGCCGCCACTCCGCTTGCCGAGGGAGGTTTCAGGGTGCTGCTTCGTCATTGCTTTGGTCACTTGGCAGTGTGGAAGTCAGGACACGTGACCTTTTCTTTGCTCCACCCGCTCTGCCCACTGTATGCAGCTTGTCTGGTGGCAGGTGGGAGGTGTGTGGGGGGCGGCGGGGAGTCTTGCCGCCTAGGACCATGCTCTCCCCAGAACCTGCCTGCGCACCTCAGACCCAACAGGGCTCAGGGCCTGTGAGTCCTCTGTGTGCCCCACGGGTCCCAGTTCAGGGCTCAAGGGCCCCTGGCTGCCACCAGCCAAATGCCTGTGTGCGAAATTCACTGCAGCCAGAGCTGGCCTCGCCAGGCGCTTCTGGTTGCAGCCCCACGGACCGTCTGCTGGGGACCCCTGCCCTCCTGGAACAGCCTCAGCTCGGCTCGTGATGTGGACAGTTGCCCCCTTCACTGGCCCTCTGTGGCCTCCTCCTCTGGATCCTGGAGAAGCCACTAGAGGTGTCTCCCTTAGTCTACTCCATGGTCATTGCTACTCAGAGCTGCACTCTGCATGGGCTCCCACAGCCCTCCGAGTGACTAAGACTTAGCCCCTCCACGTCTGCCCAGCCTCTCCCTCGGTGGCCTTTGTCACCCTTTAGAGCAGCGGTCCCCAACCTTTTTGGCACCAGGGACCGCTGCTCCTATGAGAATCTAATGCCTGACGATCTGAGGTGGAGCTGAGGCGGTGATGCCAGTGCTGGGGAGTGGCTGCAAATACAGACGAAGCTTCGCTCACTACCCGCCGCTCACCTGCTGTGTGGCCCAGTTCCTAACAGGCCACAGACCAGTGCTGGTCCACGGCCCAGGGGTTAGGGACCCCTGCTCTAGAGGGTTTCCAGACCTACTAGCCTCTCTGTCCCCTCCTCGTTTCTCTCTCCCTGGGCCTCTTTCTCTATCTCACGCCACCTTACCCAGGGCTGGCCGGCGGTGTGTGACTGTTCCTCACTGCCCTCAGCCTTTCTACCTGGCATTTTTCTAATAATTAGTCATGTTCTATTTTGGATTGTCTTATGGTTCTCTCCTGCTTTTATAGTGTCCAGATCACCATGTGAGAAGCTGATAAGCAAAGGAAGTTTGTCACTGGGCAGTTCTGCGTCTCTTCCTCCCCAGTCAGGAAATCGGGACGGCCTGCCAGCACTGAACACAAAGATCCTGTTTCCAAGTGAGTGTCCCCACCCCTAGGTGGGCCAGGGTTGACCGTGGCTGAATGTGTCTGCAAGAGGGTATCAAGGCCCTAACCTACAGGCCAGCGAGGTGGGGGCCTGTCGCTTTGCCCGGCACTGGGTCTGTGGGAATGAACGAGACTGGGTCCCTGTCCTCCAAGAGTTACAGGACGGGGAACTAGACAGAACTGTAAAGTTAGACCATGGTGTGGAAAGTGCCCTTGTTTATTGCAAAGGGCAGACAGCACCCAAATCACCACCTAGGGCTCCGTGAGGGTGGCATGGAGCAGACAACACTTGAGCTGGGTGCTGAAGGGTAAACAGGAGATACCCTGAGTAGAAAGCGGGGGGCAGGCTGGCAGTGACGGGGACCGTGGGGTCATCTTGTCATTTCCAGCATGGTTGCAGGAGGAGCACAGCTAGCTGCCAGGAGGGCTGGGCCCAGTCGACTTTCTTTTCCCTGCTAGGTGGGGTGGGGGCAACTCCTGCCGTTTCTTTCCCTTGCCCGGGAGGGTGGGGTGACAATACTGTGTGTCTTCAAAGGAAGGACTAGTACGGGGGTTGCAATTGCCAGTGAGACTCCCCTGACCAGCTTCAGGTAGGTTCCTGAGGCCCCTTAGCCACACCGTCTGCTCTTGTAAGTGGTTTGGCAAGTGCCAGTGAATCTCAACTGAAAAGGAAGACGATTCCGGAAGCTCTTTGGAAGCGAGGCTAATGAGAAACCTTTGGTTAATCAGTGAGAAAGATGTTACTGGAAAGGATGGATGGCAGAAGAGTCAGAAGTAGAGTTAGGTTTCTGCCTTATGTTTGATTTAAAATTTTTAAACCTGTGCAGATAGCGTGAAGGTTCTGGCCACGTGAGTGTTCCTTACTGGTTATTTCTCGTGAATTTTGCCTTCTAAAGCTGCAAGGCTGGACTCTCAAGACTGGTTGTGCAAAGAAGTCATTTTGGTGGAATTTCTTACGTTTAAAGGGAACTGTTTTGTTATTGTTTCTGTTTTTGTTTTTTACGTGTGTCATAGGTGTTGATTTCTACCACTCTGTGTGTTTATTTTTGTTCCATGAATACGTATCGATGATAGTGATTTTCGACTTGAGGCTGTTAATTGTCAAAATTTGGACACGTTTATATGTTATTTTGGAAACCTCTAATTAGAATGTTCTGAAGGCTGTGTGTGTCAGCCTCAGAGACGTGAGCTTCTCTTAGCTCAGCTCCTGACAGTGCGTGTCCTCCGTTGTCCCCTCACAGACGTTCGGGCTGGGATGTCCGGTTCCTTGCCTGGAGGATCCGTCATCAGTCGCTTATTGATTAATGCTGATCCCTTCAACTCCGAACCAGAAAACCTGTGAGTATGGGGTGCACCGAGGGAGCACATTGTTAAAAAAAAATGCCGGAGCATAGAAAACTGATTCGAATTAGGGAAACTCCTGAGCCGTAGGCGACGTCAGCCGACAGGGAGAACCCCGGGGCTGTGGAGCTGCGGCCGAGTGTGGCCGGAGGCTCCCTGCGAGGGGCTTTGCCGGTCCCGGCTCATCCCCAGGGCCTTGCAGCCGCCATGAGTCAGTGTCTGCTGAGCAGACTTCACGTTCCGAGGTTTCCGGTGGTTCAGAAACTCCCACTGGGAACTAACTTTGCAGTTTCTTCATTGTCACCTCTGCATTGTTCTTCAGTAGCCTTGGCCGGCCCCGTGTTGGCGTTTCTTCCTGATCCTCCCTCTGCCTTTGCCACCTGCTGCTTTCCCGTGCAGTCTGCGCCCCTGTTGGTGCTGCAGAGTCACAGGTTCCTAGGCTGGAAGCTCCTGCTCGCGGTCCCCAGGCTGACACTTAGAGGTTTAGACGAGCGGGAGGGACGTTCCGGCGCGGCTCCGTGCTGCTCGCGCTGGGTCCTCTGGCGGTGCCGAGGCGTGTGGGGCTTCTCTGCGGCAGTGCTGGCAGGGCCTCGTGTGCACAGAGGCCATTGCGGACACGTGCAATTTTGAAAACCCGTTCTTCTAGGTTTTCCTTCCTGCCGTCTGATGGCAAGTCCTGGGCAGCTAGTGACTGGTGGCAGTTGGTTGGAAGTTGCCAACCACGCATCTGGCGTGGGGCAGGGTAACAGTGAGAAGTGTACCGTTTACAGAAACTGGGTTTTGGGAAAGCGGAATGAAAGTCTGTGATGTGGCAGCTCTGCCGGGCCGGTTTGCCAGCGAGCGGCCACGTTCCAGACACCTGCTGCCTGGCGCAGGCCTGCCCAGCACCTTGGCGTCCCCTCCGGGACCTGACACTGCTGCCAGCCAGGCTGCTCCCCACCCCTCCCGAGGTGGTTTCCTCAAAAAGGCCAGAGCCGCACCCTTCCATGAGCCACGCCCACCGGGCCCCGAGCTCGCCATTTTGTCTGTTCCCTTCACCCGCGATCACTGAGGCTCTGTGTCTGCAGCTGTGGCTCTCGGTCTCTTTTCCTCTGCTCCTCTTCAGAGAGTGTGCACTTCTCCACTCGTGGGGACAAAAACTGCTCTCTCGCCTTCACCCAGGGTGGCATGCCGGGGCTGTCACCTGGCACCTCCCCACCTTTGCCTGCGATGGCCTCCCACGGCCTCCTACGGCCACCCACAGCCGCCCACAGCCGCCCGTCTGCCACTTACTTCCCAGGGCCCGTACCTGGCCTGTCCTCCCTCTGTCCCTATGCCATTTTTCTGGCTTGGATCCCTCTCTTTCCCCAGAATCTGTAAATACTGGACAACACGTCGTTTTCAGTCCAGAAAATAGTTTTGTCCCAGAGCTTTGCTGTCACCCAGCTCTGAGGAGCTCGGATTAGCTGTGTCATAGAAGTGTGCACGTGGTGATCACTTCTCAGTTCAGGCTGCAGGAGCCTGCTCATCTAAAGTGTGGGGGGGTTCTGGGCCAAGCCGGAGCCCTGCGCCCCCACCCTGTCGAGTTTCCATGGGAACTTCCACTAGGAACAGCAGGAACACACCTTCTCCTTGCTGCTTCCTCTGGGTGGAGGCCGGGGGCTGCTCCCTTCGCCCACCTGCGCTGAGGGGAACCAGGGTTCGCAGAGCCCTAGCTGTGACCCCTGTGGCCATGACAGTGGGCGTTTGGCTCCACAGCGGGAGGGTGAGGCTGGGTGGAGCTGCAGAAGCTGGAATGAAATGAGTCTTAGAGCAGTGGACACGGGAGAGGGAGCTGTTGTCACCGTGGGGCTGGGATGGGCGTTTTCCAATTCGGAGGCTGCTTTGTTGGGTCTAGGGATGTTTGAGGGTCCTTTTGACATTGAGTTCAGGTCTCTGTGAGTCTGGGCCATGAAGGCATCAGGTGTGCTGTTGCTGGTGGGAGCGTGAGACAGCAGCGCTGTGGGAAACAGCCTGGCAGGTCCTCAGACCGCCGTGGGAAACATGGCCCAGCAGCTCCACTCCTGGGACGTGCCGGAGAGAAGTGAAACACGTTCACGCTCAAGTGTGTGTGCGAACGTTAACGATAACGGCCCAGACGTCCACCTGATGAATGGATAAAGTGGGGCACCCCCACGCTGGGGCGAAGCGCTAAACACAGATGAACCTTGAAAACCTGTGCTCAGTGAAGGGGAAAGACATAAAGGCCCCCACAGCGTGATCCCATTTCTGTGCATTGCCCAGAAGAGGCAGAGCCATAGAGACGGGAAGTGGATTGGTGATTGCCAGGCCCCGGGGAGGCAGGCGTTGGGGCTGACAGCTAAAAACTTTCTTTTGGGGGCGATGAAATGTTTTTAAATTGACTGTAGTGATGGTTCTGTGACTCCGCGAATGCATTATTATCGTTGCATTGTACATTTTGAATGGTTAACCCCACAGCGTGATCCCATTTCTGTGCATTGCCCAGAAGAGGCAGAGCCATAGAGACGGGAAGTGGATTGGTGATTGCCAGGCCCCGGGGAGGCAGGCGTTGGGGCTGACAGCTAAAAACTTTCTTTTGGGGGCGATGAAATGTTTTTAAATTGACTGTAGTGATGGTTCTGTGACTCCGCGAATGCATTATTATCGTTGCATTGTACATTTTGAATGGTTAATTTATATGGTATGTTAATTAGGTCTCAATAAAGTTGTTACCAAAAAGAAAAAACAAACCCCAAACTAACAATGAGTTTTGCCCTCAGGAAGGAGCGCTTAGAGGTTGGGAGGCTGTGAGGTCAGAGGGCCAAGCAGGTGGTTTTAATTGCTCTGAACTCCCTTTGCAGAGAGTACTACACAGAGAAGTGTGTCATGAACAATTACTTTGGCATCGGCCTGGATGCGAAGATATCCCTGGACTTCAACAACAAGCGTGACGAACACCCGGAGAAGTGCAGGTGGGTGACGCCTGTGAACACACCTGTCCTCCACGTGTTTCTTGTTTCTCCTCTGGAGGGTGAGGTAACTTCTGGAGTCTGGGTGAAGGGTACGTGCAGTGCTAAGGCAGAGAGAGACGAGCCTGAGTGCTTTGTGTCGGAAGGCGTAGATGCCTCCACGCATGTGGGGGGAGTGGGTGGAAGCTCAAGAGGCCGGCCTGGAGGAGGGGTCTCCTAGTGTCGGTCAGTTTGGGGCGAATTCATGAGAAAACGAGCGACTGGTCGATTGGAGAGTCTCCTAGGTGGTTGTGGGTCTGTGATGACACTGTGAAGAGGCAGGTGATGTGAAGTGTGCTGTTCCTGTGGCAGAGTCTCCAGTGTCATTGTCTGTGTGCTCACCACACCGGCTGTCTCCCCCAGCGGGATCAGGGCCCATGGGAACCCCGCTCCACAGGAAGGTGTCCACATGGGGTCCTGCAGGCTTTCCCTGGGCTGTTCAGGTTCTTCCCCCGAGTTACCATCTCTGCTCCCCCTGGCCTGGGCACAGGGAGGAAGAAATGGGGAGCTTTCCTCCCGGCTGAAGTAGAAACCCCGCTCCTCTGCGGGAGCAGGGCAGGTGTGCCCGCCTCCCACCCCGCAGCCGCCACCCGGAGGAAGAGCCCATTGGGCCGTGACCTTCTGGGAGAGGGGGCGGGAGCTGCATGCAGTCTGGGCAGAGAAGAGCCGTCGGTGCCGAGGTCGGGGCACCTGGCCGGAGAGCCCGCAGCCTGCCACGTGCCCTGCGTGCCGCCGCTTTTGCGGAGGGTCGCCTCTGGGAGTCTGGGTGGGAGGGAGTTGCATACCCGAGGAGTCACCCACGTTATGTGTAGTTGGACGTTTGTGGGAAAACAAAACCATGCTCAAGAACTCAAACACCTCTGCGCTCTGGGGCTTTGTGTGACAGGGGACAGTGTGGAGGTGTCCCGGGACGTCCTGGCATATGGCACGTGGTGGCGAGCCCGAATCACTCAGAATTTCCCGTGAGCCCAAAAATAATGACAAAAGGCATTAAAATGGACATAATTTAGCAGAGTAAAGTAGGTGAGGAACAGGTGGTGTGTGACACATTTGTAGGACTTTGGCCCCTGGTGTAACTTTCCCTGAGTTTGCTTCGAGAGCTTTGAAAAGCCTGCCTGGAAGAATTCTCTTTCTACAGATCTGTCCCAGAGAGGTGATTGGGAATGTTGGCCAGGGGGTCGGTGCAGTATAATTGATAGAGCTCAGAGTGGTAACAAGCCACGTCTGGTCAAAGAGATTAACTTCGTTAAGTGACGTAGGGAAATAGCCGCCAGGCAGCTGCTCGTGCGGGGCAGGGTGGGCAGTGCGGGTTAGACTGTAGGCCGCTTATTTCACCCGTAAATCACGTGCCTAGAAAAGACTGAGGAAACACACATCAGCATTTGTCATCAGCACATACAGACGTGGAAGAGCGCTTTTTCCTTTGTCCTTTTTTGTACTTTCCGAGTGTTTTATGGTAAGCATAATTTTATAGTTGGAGAGAGTCATGACTGATAAAATTTTGGTGAGGTTCTGTAATGTTTTTTTTTCTTTTCAGGGCATGATTACTTGGGAAACATTACTTTCTAGCACAATTTCCTGTCAGTAGATAACGTTTACGCATGTCTTACGTAGATACATACAGGAACACGTTCTTCCTGGAGGTGTCACTGCGTCAAGGAATTGCAGAGTCTGGCCCATTTGACCAGATGCTGCTCCCACACTTTGCAGCAGCTGCTGTAGTCAACTGTTGGGAGAGCCACAGCCCGCGTCAGTTCTTTGCTTTCCGTCTCTAGGAGTCGAACCAAGAACATGATGTGGTATGGGGTTCTCGGAACCAAGGAGCTGCTGCACAGAACCTACAAGAACCTGGAGCAGAAGGTCCTGCTGGAGGTGAGCAAGATGGCCTCCCGCCATTGCCAGCGGTCAGTGGCGCCGCTGGTCTCCTGTTAGCCGTTCTCCCAGGGGCTGCCCAGCCTTTTGGCCCCTCGGCAGGAGCCCAGCCCCTGGCTGTGGCTGCCTCAGCTCTGGGGATGGTCGCTGGTGGAGAAGGACCGATGGATGCCCTGCCTCTCTCTTCTCTCTCCTTGTCCTGCGTCTGTGCTGCTCAGTGTGATGGGCGGCCCATCCCACTCCCCAGTCTCCAGGGAATTGCTGTCCTCAACATTCCCAGCTATGCCGGAGGGACCAACTTCTGGGGGGGCACCAAAGAAGACGATGTATGTATGGGGGTGCTGGGTGATGAGGGGGGTAATTAGAGAGGCGGCCCCTACAAGGGCTGTCAGCCACTTTGGGCCCCAATGGGCCCCGATGGGGCATCGACCCTTGGGGTGCTCTGTTAGTGATGCAGAGGGATGGAGGGATACCTCCCTTGTGTTGGCACTGGGGGTACAGTAGAGAACAAGACAGGTGGGGTCCCCTGCTCATTAGAAGGGAGGCCAGGCAGAACAGATGTGGTCAGAGGCACAGGTGTGATGCAGAAGCTGGGCCCACCCCGACTTGGGGTGATGTGGGAAGGCTTCTAGGAGGAGGGGACATCTGTGTTGAGACTTGAAGATGACCAGGGTTGGCCAAGTCAGGTGGATTATGGGGGTGGTGGGGTCGGGGAGGCTGTTCCAGGCAGGGGGAGCTGTGGCTGGGAGGCTTAGCGGCCAGACGGCATGGTGTGGGGGGACGGTCCCCCAGTCAGGCGGTGTGCAGAGGGTGGGGTGTGGAGAACACGGGGCGCTCTTGTGGCCATGTCAGCTGGGGGGAGCTTCGGATGTATGCTGAGAACTGTGGGAGGCACTGGTAGGTGCTGTTAACCAGGGCTGTGGCATCTTTCGTACATAGGAACTAGTAAGA